AAAAAAAAAAAAAAAAAAGGTGGAGCACAGCGACTCACGCCTGTAATCCCAGCACTTTGGGAGGCCGAGGGGGGCGGATTACCTGAGGTCAGGAGTGTGAGATTAGACTGGCCAAAATGGTGAAACCCCATCTCTACTAAAAATACAAAAGAAATTAGCTGCCGTAGTGGCATATGCCTGTAGTCTCAGCCACTCAGGAGGCTAAAGTAGGAGAATTGCTTGAACCCAGGAGGCGGAGGTTGCAGTGAGCCAAGGTGGTGCCATGGCACTCCAGCCTGGGCGACAAGAGCAAAACTCCATCTCAAAAAAGAGCGAGTCGAGCAAAACTTTGTAGTCTGCCTACTCTCCCTTCTAATTCTCTATCCCTGCTATCATCTAAATTTCCAGGAACTCCTGGTCCACTTCGAACCGCTAGATGGCCAACCTCCAGGGTGATTATTTCCTTAGACAAGCAAACAACTCAGCCCTCTAACAGGGTATTTCCTGGGGCTGGAATATCCACAGGAAGTCCTGTGAGGAAGAGCTCTGCCAAAACACTCCTTCCAAGGAAGGGACTGGTAAAGTGACAAATTTGCCCAATCCCGTACAACATCCTGCATCCTCCACATGTGGCCCCGGCTGCAGATCTCATCCACAGGCAGGTCGCTGCTGACTCTATTCCTTTTCTCTGGGTTCCTGGGATGCATAAATATGACCCTATATAAGAAAACTAGAGGCCGGGCACGGTGTCTCATGCTGGTAATCCTAGCACTTTGGGAAGCCGAGGTGAGAGGGTTATGAGGTCAGGAGTTAGAGATCAGCCCGGCCAATATGGGGAAATCGTCTCAACTAAAAATACAAAAATTATCCGGGTACAGTGGCGGGCACCTGTAATCCTAGCTACTCGGGAGGCTGAGGCAGGAGAATTGCTTGAACCCAGGAGACTGAGGTTGCAATGAGCTGAGATCTCGACACTGCACCCAGCCTGGGTGACAGTGCAGGAGTCCGTCTCGAGGAAAGAAGAAAACAAAAGCATACAGATAAAAAGTTGCACTTACAAAGCGGCTGAGTCATTTATTGGCATTAGGAAAGCATTCCTTTAAACAAGGGAGGAGATCCTGAACACACTAGTCTCACTGAGTTTATAAAAACTTGAGTCCACCAAACTCCCCATCGTCTCTACACAGCTTAACCCCATGGACAGGAGGAAGAATTCGAGTTAAATGAATGGAACCAGTCCAGCTACAAGACGATAAAGGGAAACAGAGCGTGGGGATTTGTAGTTTTTGCTTTTACATTACAAAGTTTCCAACGCAAGAAGCCAACAATACCCCAGAGCAGCACCAAGTTACTTCCCACTGTTTCCCAAGGCACAAAAATCAGTAGTCCAAGTTCTAAGAACATTTCCTGGAAAACAAGGACGCACCTCCCGTGGCTCTGTGCACGGCCTGCCCTTGATGTATCAAGTTCTTAAGAACCTACAACCGTCTGACACCCTTGGGGAGAGCACCCTCAGAGAATCTCCAACATTAGGTCTCAGTTTTCCCATCTGTAGAAGACAGCCGTGGAGTGGGAGAGCCGCTAGGCTTCCAGATCGAAGTCATCGCGCTCCTCGTTGTACTCCAGCACGTGCCGCTTGATCTTGGACGAGTCGACCCAAGTGACAAAGTCCTCCATGCTGCGGGTAACAAGGAAGGCGGGGTCGGTAACCACGTCAGGGCCCACGCGTATGTGGCCTTGTTCCACAAAGGCCACGGCAGCCTGAAGGTGCTGCGCCATGCGCAGCTTGAGGAGCACGGTGGGAAGGCGGCGGCGGCAGAAGGAGGAGGCCGTGACGAAGTCGCAGAGCTCCAGCGAACCGCGCGTGGGCACCAGGCCGAGAGCATACAGCTTGTCCAGCAGCGCGGCGGAAGCACGCACGCGGAACGGGTCGCGCTCGGGCAGGTCGCGCAGGCGCCGCGCCAGCTCACGCACGGCACGGCTCAGCTGGTTGTAGCGCGTGTAGTCCTCCCGCCGCTGCAGCCGGTAACGCCGCAGCACGCGGAGCTCGTGCAGGTTGTGATCGGTGACCTCCCAGTTCAGAAAGTCCACCTGCTTCAGCAGCTTCTGCTCGTGGAACTTAAGCTTCCGCACCATGATGGCGGAAGCCGCAGCTGCAGGACCCGAAGCTGAGAGCGCGTTCTGACGCCTGCGCGATTTCAGCCACAGCGCGCCAAGACCTGGAAGCCCTGGGACCCTGGACCAATGAAAGAAAAGCTTAGGGTCACGCCCTCACTTCCCATTGGTCAGGGTGAGACCACGCCTCTGCACCGGCATCTCGCGTTTCTTCTTTTCTTCGCGTTTGGTGAAGGAGGGAGTAGATGCACCGGAGGGAGGTGGTGCGGCCGGGTCTCTAGGAGGCTCCGCGTAGGTTTTAGTAGCCAAGACTATCCTTTGTGCAGGCATCACTTCCTGCTAGACTAATGCCCTTTGGGGACTGTTACAGTCTTCCGCGCTAGAGCTGAAGAGGTCATTTTTGGGGAAAAGGGGGTGACTGTGGCTTGTTGATTGGGTTTGCTGTGCTAACTGGGCTCCTGCGGTGCCGTGGGAGTGCTTGCGGGAGGGGGCTGACCTGGTAGTTCCTGCCGGCCGCCAGCGTCAGGTCCTTCTTTTTTTTTTTTTTTTTTTTTTTTTTTTTTTTTTTTTTTTTTTTTTTTTTTTTTTTTTTTTTTTTTTGGAAATTCTTTCTTGTTGCGTAGGCTGGAGTGCAGTGGCGTGATCTCGGCTTACTGCAACCTCTGCCTCCCAGGTTCAAGAGTTCTCCTCCCTCAGCCTCCTGAGTAGCTGGGATTACAAGCATGGGCTGCCACGCTGGCTAATTTTGTATTTTAGTAGAGACGGGGTTTCTCCACATTAGTCAAGCTGGTCTCGAACTCCTGATCTCAGCTGATCCGCTCACTTGGCAGGCGGAGCGATTTTTCACTGTCAAGTTGGACCAGGTGGCACCGAACTCATGAAATACTGATTGCCTGGCTGCTTCCTAGGAGCACAGAACCGGGATCTATAAGGGAGCCGCCTGGAAATCTGTATTATTAACGAAAGTGTCAGATGATTCATAAACAGCAAGTTTGAGAAACTTGGACTATAAGCAGAAGTCCAAATCCTTTAGTCTGTGCTCAAATGAATTATCTTGACATGCATCTCTGACCACCAAGCATTGAGTTAGCAAATTTAATGCTGTTTGGGCTAGTTGCATCAGTAAATTAATCTGAGTGTAGCGCTGTAGACCTAACCCCTTTTTGCGCAGGCATTTGACGCCACCTAGCTTCTCTCTGATCATTTTTGTTTTGTATTCTTTTTATTGTCTTTTACAATACAATATTTGGGGGCCCGGTGCAGTGGCTCATGCCTGTAATCCCAGCACTTTGGAAGGCTGAGGTGGGAGGATCATTTAAGGCCAGGAGTTCAAGACCAGCCTAGGAAAAAAAAAAAAAAAATTGAGATCCCGCCTCTGTAAAAAATCTTAAAGAATTAGCCAGGCATGGTAGTGCATGCCTGTAGTCCTGACTACCTGGGAGGCTGAGGAAGGAGAATCGCTTGAATCCAGGACTTGTTGGCTGCAGTGAGCTATGATCGTGCCACTGCACCCCAGCTTGCACAACAGAGCCAGACCCTGTCTCTAAAAAAAAAAAATAAAAGATTTGATGTCTGGAAAATAATATACATAGCATATAAATTATAAAGTATAATAAATACTCATGAACTTAGCCAGTTTAAGAAAACATCACCAGGCTGGGCATGGTGACTGATGCCTGTAATCCCAACATTTTGGGAGGCCAAGGTGGGAGGATATCTGGAGCCCAGGAGTTCAAGACCAGCCTGGGCAACATAGTGAGACTCAGTCCCTGTGGGGGAAAAAACAAATTAGCCAGGCATGGTGGCAGCACCTATAGTTCCAGCTACTGGTGGGGGTTTGGAGGTAAGACTGTAGAGGATTCCCTGAGGCCAGGAGTTCAAGGCTGCAGTGAGCCATGATCACACCACTGCTCTCCAGCTTGAGCAACAGAACAAGATCCTGTCTCTAAAACAAACAGAAAACTGTTACAGATTGTTTGCTTTTTTAAATCTAATTGATTTTTTTTTTTTTTTTGAGATGGAGTCTTGCTCTATTGCCCAGGCTGGAGTGCAGTGGCGCAATCTCGGCTCACTGCAACTTCTGCCTACTGGGTTCAAGCTGTTCTCCTGCCTCAGCCTCCTGAGTAGCTGGGACTACAGGCGTGTACTACCATACCTGGCTAATTTTTGTATTTTTAGTAGAGATCGGTTTCACCATGTCAGGCTGGTCTCGAACTCCTGACCTCAGGCGATCCGTCTGCCTCGGCCTCCTGCAGTCCTGGGCCTCTCAAGTAGCTGGGATCACAGGTGCCCAACACCACGCCCTGCTAATTTTTGTATTTTTAGTAGAGATGGGATTTCGCCATGTTGGTCAGGCTGGTCTTGAATTCTTGAGCTCAGGTGATCCACTTGCCTTGGCCTCCCAAAGTGCTGGGATTACAGGCATGAGCTACCATGCCTGGCCACTAATTTTTAAATTTTTTATAGAGATGGGGGTCTCACTATGTTGTCATGGCTGGTCTTGAACTCCTGGGCTGAAGCAATCCTCTTACCTCAGGCTCCCGAAGTGCTGGGATTACAAGCATAAGCCACCATGCCCAGCTGAGAAATTTAATTTGGGACATGTTGGGTTGGAGGCATCCATTAGACTTCTGAGGGGAGATGTCAAGGAGAAATATATGAGTTAGGAGGTGTTTTGTGTGTGTGTGTGTGTGTGTGTGTGTGTGTGTGTGTGTTTGAGATGGAGTTCTTGTTGCCCAGGCTGGAGTGCAGTGGTGTGATCTCGGCTTACTGCAACTTCCCCCTCCCGGATTCAAGCAATTCTCCTCCCTCAGCCTCCTGAGTAGCTGGGATTACAAGCATGCACCGCCACACTGGCTAACTTTGTATTTTTGGTAGAGATGGAGTTTCTCCATATGCTGGTCTCAAACTCCCGATCTCAGGTGATCTGCTTGCCTCAGCCTCCCAAAGTTCTGGGATTACAGGCATAAGCCACCATGCCTGGCCCAGGAGTTTTTTTTAAAAGGACTGGAAATTTTAAAAATTGGGCATTACTAGCATGAGTGATATTTGAAGTCATTCGGCTGGATGAGACCATCATAGGGAGTGACTATGGATGCAAAAGACACCACTCTGCTGTGGTCACTCTAATGTTAGGAGGCTGGGCATGGTGGCTCACATAGGTAACCCCAGCACTTAGGGAGGCCGAGGTGGGAGGATCATGAGGTCAAGAGATGGAGACCATCCTGGCCAACATGGTGAAATCCCGTCTCTACTAAAAATACAAAAAGTAGCTGGGTGTGGTGGCATGTGCCTATAGTCCCAGCTACTTGGGAGGCTGAGGCAGGAGAATCGCTTGAATCTGGGAGGCAGAGGATGCAGGGAGCCAACATTGTACTACTACACTCCAGCCTGGAAACAGAGCTAGACTCCATCTCAATTAAAATAAAAAAAAATAATTATTGAAGAGGACAGAGGATGAGAAGGGACACCAGGAGAGTTATGTTCTCGCCAATGCAAATGAAGAAAGTGTATCCAGGAGGAAGAAGTGATCAAGCAGGTCAAATGCTACGGAGAGAGTAAATAAGAGAAGGACTGAGAATAACCATAGGGTCCAGCAACACCGAGGCTACTGATTACCTTGACAGGAATAGTTCAGTGGAGTGTGGAAGTAAAAGGCTGCCTAGAGGGATTTAAACAGAGAACAGGAAAAAGAAATTGGAGGCACCTAGTATAGATAACTATTTCAAGGAATTTTGCTGCAAAGGTGAGGAGAGAAATGGTGGGGAAAGTGGAGTCAAAAAATATTTTTTAAACATGTGGGTTGACACTTCCCTCAACAACCACGACTGATTGGTTGTGATTCCAGTCTATTCTACCTCCAAAAGCTCTCCCATTTTCTTCTCTCCAGCCCTGTTACCCCTGCCCGGTGTCAGGCCCTCATCATCTTTTGCCTGCATTCCTACAGTAATAGCCCAGTGTATCCTGCAGGCTGCCACCAGCAGGGTCAGTTTGAAAACCACTGGGCACAGTTCTTCCTTGCTGTCTCCTTTCCTAAAGGATGAAAATTGGATGCCTGGGTGAAGGATGGATGCTGTTTCCTGTGTATGAATCAGGGTCCCAGCAGGAAAGAGAGAACATACCCCAATAAGAATAATGTGAGAGGCCAGGTGTGGTGGCTCACGCTTGTAATCCCAGCACTTTGAGAGGCTGAGGCAGGAGGATCGCTTGAGCCCAAGAGTTTGAGATCAGCCTGGGCAACATGGCAAAACCCCGTCTCTACAAAAAATACAAAAGTTGGCTTGGTGTGGTGGTGTGCACTTGTAGTTCCAGCTACTTGGGAGACTGAGATGGGAGGATCGCCTGAGTCCAGGGAGGTTGAAGCTACAGTGAGCTATGATTATACCACTGTACTGCAGCCTGGGCAACAGAGTGAGACCCTGTCTCAAAAATAAAAGGAAAAGAAAAAAATAATGTGAGACTTGACGTAAAGGGACTGTTTCCATAGGAATGGGCAGGGTACAGGGAGATCACAAGGGTTAGTGCAGTTTCTTGAGACTGGTAACATGGGGCTCTGTTACCCCTAGGCCTGAAGAAGGTCCCTGGAGGGGATGAAATGGGAAAATACGGGTTCTGGAAACCTCTGTGAGGCTGAAGAGTGAGTTCTTCCCAAGAACCTGGAAAAAAGGGTGTCACCTGAGAGTTACAAAAAAACCCAATCAGAACACATGTGGAAGTAAATCCAAGATGGCTGGTCTGTAAATATGTGACTGAGTATTTGGGAAGCAACTAAAGGCCGTCAAGGGTGGCAGCTGAGGATGCTTTGGGGAGGTGGGGCTGGAGGGGGACCCTATTGGGTGAATAGAAATCCCAGTTGTATTGAGTAAGCTAATAAAGTGTTTACAGGAGTGTCTAGCACTTAGCAAGCACTAAGGAAGTAGATGCGTTTTTTAAATCTTTTTTTGGGGGAGACAGGGTCTCACTCTGTCCCCCAGGCTGGAGTATAATGGCATATACAATGGCACGATCTTGGCTCACTAGCCTCTGACTCCTAGCAACCTTACCTGTCCGATGCTATTTTTTTTTTGTTTTGTTTTTCTTTTTTTGGAGACAGAGTCTTGCTCTGTCACCCAGGCTGGAGTACAGTAGCGCAATCTAGGCTCACTGCAACCTCTGCCTCCCAGGTTCAAGTG